AGTTCTTTCTCATTATGCAAGTACCAATGGCTCATACTAAGTGTTGTAGTAGCTCACATAAAATTTGAGTTGGAAAAGCTAGTACGTTTTAAGCACTTTAATCTTTGTGTGTTTTTGTTGCAGTTATGGGTGAAAATAGTTGATGGAGACATTCAAGATTCTACACGTTCAGATCTCTATGAATATATAGTAGACTTTCTTACGTTCTGCTCGGACCAAGATCTAGTGTGGAAATACTCTGAATGGATTTTACAAAAAAATGAAGAGGTCTGTGATTGCTGTACTTTCCCCATAAAATCATAAATACAAAGTATTTCCCTGTAGCAGTGTTTGGGTGTTCATTAACATTGTTCCATTTTAATAGCTAATTGGGTCATTTTTGCAGTGTATTTTAATGCCAGTTGAAGAGTGATCAACAGAGGAAAACTTCCAGGTTTCTTCAAGTCTTGTCAGTCCCTCTGTTAACAAGCACTAGTGATAATTGCCTCTTTTTCTTCTGAACGCAAAGTTTTAAATCATTCCATACAATGAAAGATACAGCATGTCTTCTGGTTTTCTTCATATTAAGCAAGATAATTTTTAGATCTTAAAACAAACAAACAAAAAAACACCTAACAGGTTAACAGTTGCCACTGTTTCTTTTCTAAAAAGACGCCAGGGATGGGTGATATCTCTGTGCAGTAAGATATGGAATAAATAGCCTTAATTGAAGACAAAACTTCATTGCTACAAGAATTAACTTAATCCACCAAAAGTAATAAAACAATTTTGTAACATCCATTAGTGTGATGTGCTGTTAAATGGGATACTTTATGCTGTATCAGTCAGTCTGTGCTGTTGGAGCTTGCACTGCCTAATTTGCATTAATTTAAAGCTTAGTTATTACATGCAATGACAGATTTCTAAGCTTTGTTTTGGTCATTATAGAAGTCGCTTAAAAGTGACAATATATGCAGCAGTAAGGCTGTAAACGTTCTGGTCTCCAGCTTACACTTTCTTGCTGCAAAGGGCTGAAGTCCCTTGTTCTGCTGTTAGGCAGATCCATTCAATACTTTTTGTGGCTGGTGGAGGTTGTGCCCGACACAAGGTTTATAGGCTGGACAATGTATAGACTACGAACTGAGGTAATGGAGACAGAAGTGAGCGGGCTTATGGTAGGCACCAAGCAGTGTAATCTTGGTGATGTTGAGCAGGGTTTTGTGGTGTTTATCTTCCTGAATACTGCACTAATTAGCCTGATATTGCTTTTAAATAAGTATTTAAAGTAAAAAGGTAATGAAATGGTTGCCACTGAGTTCCTAAAGGCAATTAACTCTTTCTAGGTTGGCGTACAGATTTTCACTAAAAGGCCTTTGGAAGAACAGGAGAAAAACAACATTAATCCAGATGATGTCATCAGTTGCCTTAACAAATATCCTAAAGCACGTGTTAAATATCTAGAACATCTAGTATTGGAAAGAAAAATAGAGGTGAGTCCTACAAGAATGCTAAAAACATGCGTAGGAATGCAAACTCTGATGAAAACTCTGAAAAGAGCTGAAGTCTAGAAGAAATAAGCATAATTTGAAGGCTTTCAGATGTACTTAGAGTAGGGAAGGGGTGGTTTTAAGATTACTTTTATTATTATTTTTAATTTTTCAACTCTCGTGATGGCAAGACAGTTGCTTACCTCCCCTCAGTTTTGGGGGTTTTTTTATATCTGATTATTGCATATTTTTCTGTTTCACTGATGAGGCTCAAGCCTCTGTCTGGTAAGATCATAGAAAAATGATTGAGCAACTGCTAATCCTATTGCACTGCGGCAGCAATATACTAAAATTGCTAATTCAGCTATCAAAATAGCTAATACCTATGTTTTATTCTGTCCTTCTGGAGAGATTTGAGCAGTTAATGATAGGATTAAACCATGCACCTCTTACTGTAGAATTCCAAACAGCTCTAGATGTTGAATGCCCAAAAGATGTGTTCACAAGTCATAAATGTCAGTGTGTTCTACCCTTGGGTTTTTAGGCCCAGTGCAGAAGCAGCCAGACGTTATGGTACTTGGATATGAGACACTAAGCACAGGATAAGTTACTTTAACCTGCACATAAAACAAAGAAATGAACCCTGAAAGAACTCAGCAGAGCTGATGACCAGTTCACTAATTTAAATCCTTCAAATGCACGTGCTAGATCAATGCTTTCTCTCTGACGCTGTTGCAAATATGTCAAGGTGTGTGACACCACAATGGATGAATGGTCTAGTTTCTGATGTCATTAATATTTTCAAACAAACTTTTTGAGTTAAACATAATGCCTTGTAGAATATTTATAACAAAAATAATTTATAATTAAATCTACCTGCTAGTAAAGGCTGAGTCATAAATTGATTTGCTCTTTAGAAAGTACTAGAGTATTGTAAATGCTTTAGTGAAAATGTTTCAAACAGTCAAACCATCAACTTGTTTTGGTGAATATTGGGTAGTGGATAACACAAAAAGCACTGTGCCTTCAGAGTGCCTGTCTACCTCTGTTGGCTGTCTCCAATTTTATTGCAGAAACAGGAAAGGTCAAAGAACATTCTTCAATATGAAGAAGAATGAATTAGATCAAAATTACTCATTTTACAAGGGAAACAAAAGGAGAAGCCACAGTGTCTCGAGATCATATTTGTACTCAAAGGGAGAGAGAGACCTGCTTCACTGCATTGACTTTCATTAGGTGAACATTCAAAAGGAAATAATTTTTGCACAAGAAAAGCTATTTATAGATCCTGTTTGTTTAAGGTAGAGAAGGGTTTAGGAATAAGATGTTTCATATCTACATTTTGGAAATACCTGTATTAATGAAATAGAGAATCTCATACTATAGGTACAGTGTATCTTGTGAAGCTGGTCTTGAATAAGTTTTCTAGCTGCATGAACAAAAGACTTTCTAATTAACTTGAATTAAATAAATGAATTAAAACACTTTTCTATGTAATTATGTAAATATTCATCACTGTTATTGGTGGGGAGAAGGGATTGTCTTTGTAAACTGAGCTTACATTGTTCTTTTCATCTGTAGAAAGAAAAGTACCATACTCACCTAGCGGTCTTGTACTTGGAGGCAATACTTCAGCTAAAATCTGTGACCACAGATAATTGTACAGAAACAACTGAACTGCTGTTTAAACTACGCAGTCTTCTTCAGAAGTCTGATCTCTATAGAATTCACTTTATTTTGGGTAAGATGCATGGTGTCTATTATAAATGCTATATGTTAGTTCCAGCAGAAAGCAGACTTAAAAAAATTGCTTGTAAGCATAGAAAGCTAAAAGATCTGAGGTTTCTAGGTGTGTTTGGTTGATGGGCTTACCATCTGTATTTCTAACAGGCACAAGTTGATTTAGAAAGCGTATCTAAACATAGTATCTATGATCTCTTGTAGCTGGTGAGGTATAATGGTGTGTTTGCTGCTGCACCAAAGACAGAATGCTGCTTGTAGCTGGTGAGGTATAATGGTGTGTTTGCCACTGCACCAAAGACAGAATGCTGTAACTATCTAGAAAAAATATCTTCATACAATTATCTTCTTAATTTATAGTCAAGTTTGTTTTTATTGATGAGGATGTAACTTGACAGTCTTCTGCAAATTGAAGAGTTAACAAGTTTACTTCTTAAGCAGTCTATTTCTCAGTGAACTGAAGCGAAGCTTTGAGGAATCTGAATACCAAGGACTTGTTTGTTGTCCATAACCCAGTCTCACCCCAAAAGCTGAGTTTCATGCTAAGCCAAAATTTGAGCAGCATCTTGAGTGAAAAGCGCAACATAAGTCTTCCTGTTGGTATAAGGCAAGCAGCAGTTGAGCTAAATTTTTTCCTTGGCCAGTGCTTATAATGACTGGGTTTTTTAATGTACCTTCCAGTGAGTGAAAGGGAAATGACTTGTTATTGTACTGAAAGATGTGAAATGTTTTTTCTGAAAGTCAGTGGAAAGATCCAGTGGATGTGGAAATAAAGACAGCTGAGTAGCAACTAAAATAATTTACCAACCTTTAATGTCTCCTTGCCTTTCCAGTCATTAAAACATTATATGACAGAAAACGTACAAGTATAACACAGTTGTTGAAACTCTTGCTCTTTTTCATCTTTTAATTTCTAACCAAATTTTTAAGGGCAAGAGTTACAAGATGGGTTATTCTCTTGAAATCCGTGTACTCCAAAACACGGGATTTCTTAGATGACAGCTTCTTACCTTATGTGAAGGTGAGATCAATGCATGCTAGTATGTTCCTCCTGAATAACCAAAATATTTTGGGGAGAAAAACATTGTATTTTCGTACCTTTTACAGAGGCCTATGCCAAGTCTTTATCACCTTTACCATAGGTAGAGGATTTTCTATTTTTATCTTGAAATGCCAAATGAACTTGGCCATTCCCCTGCCTGTTGCTGACACTTTAAACCGTCAAACTGGATTAAGAGTTCATAGTGACCTTTTCTTAAAGGGAAGTACTATTTGATCTTATGGACTTTATTCCATACTTTTCTAAAATATTTGGAGAAACAGAGGTAAATATTGCAGCTTCATCTTACAGTTTATCATACACGGTAGCAGTGTGTGCAGAAACGTGCAAGACTGACATGTTAGAATTTAGAAGATGTCAGTGCCACTGATTTTATCAGCTGTTATTTAGTAATTTCTTTTCCCTGTATTTTTTGTTGGAGATGTGTTTCCATATATCTAGGCGTTTTTGTACTTAAAAACATCTGTCCTCTTTATAGCTACCAGCACCCCTGCAAAAGTAGCAGGAGTTGAGTTCTTTGGGCTTGTTGGCATTGACTCTGCGGGAAGGAGTAGTTGTCTTCTCCGCTGAGCAAATATTGTCTTCTTTCTCATTTAACAGACAAAATCCAGGGCACAGACCTTCATATGGAAAGTGCAATTTTATATGGAAAGCTAGAAGAACATGAGAAGGCTTTGCATATCCTTGTCCATGAGTTAAAGGACTTCCATGCTGCTGAAGAATACTGTATATGGAACTCTGAGGACAGAGATGTGCAGTACAGACGGAGGCTTTTCCATATGCTGCTGTCAGTGTATCTAAATCCAGGCACTTCGGATTGTGCACTAGTCATGGCTGCTGTGGATCTCTTGAATAACCACGCTGCTGAATTTGATGCGGCTCTAGTTTTGCAGCTGGTGCCTGACAGCTGGTCAGTGCAGCTCCTCTCGCCGTTCCTGGCTGGAGCAGTGAGGCAAAGCATTCATACAAAAAGAATGACTCAGGCTGCACTTGGGTTAGCACAAGCTGAAAACTTAATCTACAAACACGAAAAGGTAGGTGTTGGCTTGTTTGTTTGTTTTTTTAAAAAAGGCACTTTGAAGCTTTACAATTAAGTTCTTTCTTATATAATAATCAGAAGAAGTTTGAAGAATTAGGACAAAGTTGTCTCCTTGTCCTTGGCAATTCAACTTGCTGCATTTACTAGTGTTTTGCCATGACTACTAGGTTCAAACTTAATTTTATGCTTTCTCTGTAAAACAAAAGGGAACATGAGGGCCTTGAAATAGGAAAAGCTTTGGTTAACTCCTGGGCTGAATGGAAGTGAATCTTGGATTTGCAGATTAACAAAGTTCTTGCAGAAGCTTTACTAAATGTGAGTTAGTGTTTTTTTCACTAGGATCGAGACCTGTCAGAATTTGCAAAAAAAGTTTAGCCAGCACTTAAAATCATAGAGTTATCGTATGGTTTGTGTTGGAAAGGACCTTAAAGGTCATCTAGTTCCAACCCTCCTGCCATGGACAGGGACACCTTCCACTAGATAAGGTTGCTAAAAGCCCCGTCCAACCTGGTCTTGAACACTTCCAGGCATGGGACATCCACAGCCTCTCTGGGCAACTTGTTCTAGTGTCTCACCACTCTCATAGTGAAGAAAGTATTAATTAGTATTAATTGAAGCTTGTTAGTAGCTCTTGGTGGTGGTAAATTTATTTGTGAAGCTTTCTTCTATTCATAGCTAGAGCTGTATTGCTTAAAGCTTCCAGCAGATTCTTAAATCTATTTAGTTTTAACAACAGTATATCCAGCAGAATCTGTCTGGAATAAAAACGCATCAGTGCTCAGTTTGCTGTGGAGTTGTCCTGTCACCTTGTGACTGAAAACCAGATGCAGCTTCCTAAACATTAAATATGTGAGTGCTTTTCTTTATTAAAAAAAAAAAAAAAAACGACAAAAAACCCCAGTGCTAAGAGGAAGCATGAAAATGAGTAAGTACAAATGTGGAAATTGAATTCAAGTTAACTAATTCAAGCTTGTTTTTCCTACTACCTCTGTCATTGACCAGGTTTGTCCATTTGGTACAGCTGAAATTATATGCCTCAATTTCCCTTCCTTTCTTCCTAGATTCATGTTTGGATTTTTTTCCCCCTCTCTTTAGGTTAAACAAAAAGGAACCCCAATTCTTCTTTCGGACAAAAAGGTCTGTCAGGCGTGCCAAAATCCTTTCTGCGAGCCTGTATTTGTAAGATACCCAAATGGGGGTATAGTCCACACACACTGTGCTGCAAACAGACATCAGAATTCAAATGTGACTCATCACTCTTCCAGCTCCAGCAATCAGACTTGAAATATGTTCCGGTCCCACAGGTTCCCATGACTTACACCCCATTGAAAGTGGGTTGGAAAAAAAGAACAAAGTGCAGCTACTTTAGGTATCAAATCAAGATGAACTGCTAATCCTTGGGTTAATGGGAAGACTTCCAGTAAACATGAAATATTGCCACTTATCGTTTTGATTTCTAACGAATGTAGATAGAAAAGAAAATTCACAACCAGAAATGGAGAGGTGCAAATATAGGCTCTTCTGTATATAGTAATTACCAGTTAAAGAAGATAAACCTTTTCTTCACAGTAAGGATGAATGTTATGGCAACAAGGCAAACAGTTATTTTAAGAAATGTCACTTTGCACTGAATGTGGATGAATTTGTAGAGGTGGAGATGGCATCTATTGGAGTTCGAATTCTTGGAACATTGTGTGACAAGACTGGCAGCTTACTATCAAGACAAAAATATGTGTTGGTTATAATGTTTGCTGCAGTGTGTCTTCTTTTGGGCTGGATTCTTTTCCCCGGGATCACATTATGAACTTGGTTTTTGCTCTACAAATTGTTGGCTTTTGATGCACTTTTTAGTACTTCTCATCCCCCCTTCCCACTCCCGCCTCACTGTATAGAATTTAAATGTAAGCACTGGTCTGTTAGATTTCGACTTCTGCAGTTACTGTAATAAACTGAGTGGAAACTGGTAGCCTCAGTCACAGCTGTGCTTGAATGAAAAAAAAACAAAAACAAAAAAAACCCACAAAGTCAGATTGTCTGATCAGACTGTAGTCACTTTTATAAGGGGGAAGAGACCTTAACTTTAATATTGATTTATTTATTAATATGCAAATATACTGTACATACAGTTGAATAAATTGATCTTATATCATTCTAGAGTTTCCTTGGAGGATAAAGATGCAGCTGATACATAAGTGTACAGAAAATGTGCTAAATGTTTGCTATAACATAACTTAGGCAGATCGGAACACCCAAGAATAGGTTTTAGTACTTGTGGGTGACTTTGTGCAATCAAAATCATGGAAAGAAGGTATAATTGGGAAGAAATCTACAGAGGTGCACTACAGGGGTACTGGATTTGTTATATTCTACAAAACATTATGTAAACTAAGATTTTTTTTTAAAAAACAAAAACCCTTTACTGCCCTGATAAGTATTCACATTGCTATTTAACCATTTTAAAGTAATCTATTTAAAAGAAGCAGCTTCCCACAAGAGAAGTTCAAAAATGACAACTTTAAATAAAACTTAAGTATGTCAAAATCAAAGCATTTCTTTTAATTCTGTAAAGCTCTAATAAATACCAAGCTTACTGGCCAGCTTGCAGTGGAGTTAGTAGGGCTACTTGCTGTTTCAGCATTCCAAATCAGAGTGGATACTCTCAGCAAAATGGGATATCTGCATGGCATCTTCTAGACACAGCCTCGGCAGAGGTCTCCTGGTACAGAAAAGTTGGCTTATGAGACAGCCTTGTAAGCATAGTGCTGCCTTCAGGAAGGGGCAGCCAGGCTACATCTAGGGGAAAGAAATAACCCCATTTGTTTTGTCTTTCCTTCAAGGAAAAGACCTTTGGATCTGAGTTTGAAATTAGAAAAGTATAGCTGTTGTGTTGGATTTTAAAAAAACAAAATCCAATTAAGGAGTTTTGTAGCACTTTGTACTAAGACATGTAAGCCACATTTAGTGAAAGGCACCTTCAAAAAAGACAAATGTGAGCGTTTCCGACTGAATTCTGGCATGAGTGATTCTTCTGTGTTGCGCTGGTATGAGCAGATTCTTCTGTATCTTGTATTCATGGTTTTCAAACATTGTGTATGCAACTGGCGATGATGACAAATTTGTAGTTTCCTGTCCTCAAAATACTTGCTGATAGAGAGGAAGTGATTTTACAAAGCCTTTTGTGTGCAGGAGCATGCAATTCATAAGAAATACTTTATTTTGCTTCAAGCATCCTCAGTATGCTCTTTGTTCCTGTCTAATAAGGAGATATTAAACCGATCGTCACTCTCCGTGATAAAGACTAATTCTAGCCATTAGGTAGCAATGAACTTAGTCTTGTCAACCAGTGTTGCAATGGAATAGAGATCATATAATTCCAGACCACAAGAAAATTCTTAGTTGTTACTGCATGAAAAGGTACGGCCGTAAAAGATCAAACAATATTAATATTCGACATTTTTTCAGATTTCTGCTTTGGCTAAAATGCAACAGTAACAATAATTGCACATACAGAACAAGTACAGCAATCAGAATAATGCAAGATACTGTATTTGCAATCAGAGATGACCAAAACGGTGCTGAATATTTACGTTGGGGGATCTGATTCTTTCAGCCCCTCAGACATGTGGACTGGAAAAACACTGACATTTGATCATGTGTAGTTACCTGTTTCGTTGTTAAATTTTATACCGGAACTCATTTGAATGAATTAATGTGGAACTTCCACAGTAACAAAAAGAAAAAAAAAAAAAATCAATGTGAGGCTGAGGTAGAACAGGAGCTCAGCAGGGAAGTGGCAGGCAGAGGATGCTCTTCCAGTCTGTGTACAGCGCTTGAGCAATTGGGATAATGCTCGACCAGAGGAGATGACAGCCTACGTCAGAGTGGTGCGTGGTATTCTGTGTTTTATCACCAGGAAATTTATGAAAGGTGTCTGCCTTGAAATTCCCTTAGGTAGGACAGCTGCAACACCCCTTGGGTAAGAACTTCGCATTGGAGATACTGAGTTCGTTCCTCCTTTTATTTTGACGCTGTCAGTTTGCTCGTTCTTGGTTTGAGTATCTGAAGTCCTGGGACAGCATTTGCTGCTGTGACACGTTCTTCTGGTATGGCTGCAGCAGCAAGAAGGGAATGAATGGTCATCTGGTTATTAATTGCTGACTGGATACGTGAAGGAGGAGAGGCAGGAAGGAGGAATATTTCCTTGGCCATCCTAGTTTGGAAATTAAATGGGTTCTGGGATTAAATGGATTCTGGGATCAATGGTTGGACTCTTACTATCTTCGAGGTCTCTGCCAACCTACACAATTCTATGATTTTAAGCTTGATGCAATATTTTCCTCCCCAGTTAGGGAATGGGGTGTCTTAGACCTTCCCTTGGAGAGAGGAGACTGTCAGGCTATTTCTTCCTAATTTAGCTCTTACTAAATTATTTGTGTTTGTAATTCATCTCTCACTCACTCCTCTCCCCCTCGCCCCAGTGAGTCTCCTCCAACTTTGTATGTGTGGAAACAAAAACAGTAGTGCAATTTTTTTTTTTTGTAAATGTGACAGCATGCCTGTGATTCAGGATATGACAGATGAGATTAGTGTCTCATATAGATGCTTTTGCAGACATTGAGGCACGTTTGCGTAACATGTAGCTTCTAATTACAGAAATAGTGGAACTCTGACTTTTTAAGCCATCCTTTGTTTGGTCGCTAACAGATACAAAAAGCACTCGTTAAACCCTCTTCTACTCTTCCATACCTCCATGCTTCCTCACATAAAAATTATCTATGACATGTATATGTTGTCATGTGCAGTTTTTCCCTTCTCTAAGTCAAAAAGAGAGGAAAAACACTAATGAGAAAAAATTGCCCAGAGTCTGGCACTCTGCTGGAAATAAGATTAATGGCTGTACATTTATGAGAAAAAAAACAGTTAGATCTTCACTTCTGTGCTTTAAAAGGGTAAGTTATCACTTGATAATATTACAAGAATGCTGATATACTGAATACTGAGAAAAAAAGCAATTGGGTTTTGTTACGCAGAGCACGCCACAGGTACCTATGAACTGACTTCTTTGGGCAGCCCATCCGTGGTGGCTCAGGTGTTCACAGGAGTCTGGATTACAAGGAGAACAATTCTCTTTGCTCCCCCAGCTCCCAATCTCCAAAAACTTTCCAGCCTTCGTTACCTGGTTAATGTCACTCTTCTAGCACTTAATTGAGGTAGGTGTGAATCTTGAGTTCTGGGTGGACACCTCAACACGTCTCTCTTTGTTCAGTAAAACGTCACTTTTATTGCATCAACCGTATGAAACCCTAATAATGTCAACTGTGGAAAGGTGGTGGTAGAGATGGAGTATGCGTATGTTCTCCAAGACCTTTGTTACACGTTTGAACACACAAGCGCTATCCTGACTGTGCATCTTTATAACGATGTCTGTTCTTTGCAGGGCTCCTGTCCTGAATGACATTTGAAAATATTTTATTTTGAAAAGCTGTATCAAGAAGTAACTTCTTATTTTATTGCTCTTCCCAATTTGCTGCAGTCTCTATTCAGCATAGCTCTAAGTGTTTTATTAACATCCTGCTGTTTATAATAGGCAGCAACTAATACATTTTCATTATGAGCTCTCCTCCTATTGCCTATATTTACTAATTAATTTTTCTCTTGCTGTACAACACTTTGGGGCTTATGCCTTGTGAACACTGATAATTAAATGTGCTGCTACTTTTAAAGGGAAAAGAAGAAAAGAAGTTAATGACATTCTGTAATGTCTGATTGGTTACAAAATTGAAATTCCCCTGCAGTAAATTTGTTCAGATGGAAATCCGTACTGTTAATGCTTTCTGACTTAATGGTTATGTTGGTGAACATACACAGCAGTATGTGGAATGTACAAATGTATAAATATGTTCATTTTTAATAAAAAAATCTTTTAATTATGTTTCTGTCATTCATTCCTAGATACGTAAACCCTGGGATGTGAATGGCCAAGTGAAGGAGAAAGATTCTTCAGTGGTGAATAGAGGATTCATCTGGGTGACAGAAGTGGTCAGATGAAAAGGCCAGATTAAGCAAGTGCAGGGTGTTAATGGAGATGAAAAGATGTTCTTAAAAACTAGTGAATTTTACTTTTGGGAAGAAGTTTTACTTTTTTTTCACCTCTTCCTTAACTGAATCTGAGTTTTTACAGATATGAGCAAAAGTGGCTACTGCCATTAGAGATCTGGAAAACCTTGATCTGCCTCTGTGTAGCCAAAGCAATCCCTTCTGTGACTGAAGCCAGCTCTTACATG